TGGCTTGTGATGGGATGTGAACCGACAGTCTGTAGAGTTTTCCATCTGGTGTGGGTGAGTGATAGTCTACTTTGATTTTGGTTAAGGTAGATTATCATTTACAGTGTAATCAGTGAGGGGATTCTGCAGACCGTTGAGGGTTCAGCCTCCTGATGAGTCGGTGAAACTTCGACGAAACAGTTTGTCACTTCCCCTCGTTTGTTGTCCTCTTCTCTCTCTCTGCCTACGTTTTTACCGGGAAGTTCTGTTTGTGACGATATATACTACGACTTCGCTAGCTTCCTGCTACGGTTTTCTCCGGTTTGGTCAAGCGGCAGTGGTCGGGGCCGTTACTAGGCGGCCATGCTGTGCCTCTAGTGCCAGCGGCATGTCTGGAGTGTATTTTTGGCTGTGACAGACCTTTCTTTGTTTCGTGGATGTTTTGCTGGCTTGTGATGGGGTGTGAGCCGACAGTCTGTAAAGTTTTCCATCTGGTGTGGGTTAGTGATAGTCTACTTTAATTTTGGTTAAGGAAGATTATCATTTACAGTKTAATCAGTGAGGGGATTCTGCAGACTGTTGAGGGTTCAGCCTCCTGATGAGTCGGTGAAACTCCGACGAAACAGTTTGTCACAGCCCCTCGTTTGTTGTCCTCTTCTCTCTCTCTGCCTACGGTTTTACCGGGCAGTTCTGTTTGTGACGATATATATATATATATATACTTCCCTTACCACGATGCACCTATTTTCCACTCATCAGGACGATTTTGCGATCCATGTGCAGAATTGGTAATTACTTTTCTTTTGATTATAATACTTTTGTTTTTTTATCTAGTTTTTATTTTTTCGTTTTATAAAATATAAAAGAAAGATGAATCCCCCCCCCCAAAAAGCGGTTGTAGGGTTTTTCAAACCTAACAACAATTTTTTTTTGTTTTTTAATATGACAAATTCTCGGCCACGCCCGCTGCATGCGCCCGAGGCCTGCGGTCAGGATCCCGAACGTGGGCCGAGTTCGACCCCGTGAGGGATACATAGGTTTGCATGTCTTTTTCTTTCTGGTTATTATGCTTTTTATTTTTATAAAATAAAAATGAACTTTATATATATATATATATATATATATAATCTACGTTACATAGAATACACGTACTGGGGCTTTCCGTACGAAACGTACAGGTAATATCTGTACGGGAACCTGTACGAAAACCTGTACGTCTTGTACGTCCCCGTTAAAAAAAAAAA